CATAGTAAAATTTAAAAAAATTTTTTTTTTACTATGGGGGGGGGAGCTCTGAGGAGGGGGGGGGGGGTAATGTAAAACACATAATCAACTTGGTCTGGCCTTACTTCAAATTTCTAATAATTTTCCCAGATAAAATGATCTTTTTCATGTCGTGCTAATCAGGTTCAATTTCTAATACTTTATTTAAATATATAAAAATGTTTTCATATTTTCTTAGAATGAAATGTATTTTTCCACAAAGAATCAATGCTATTGTGTTATAGGATGAGCTTCTAATGCTTTCTTCAGATGTAAAAGCGCATAATCAAAATACCCACGTATAAAATATTCCTCTCCACAAAGTATCATTGAGTTTGCATTACTTAATTCAATGTTATCATAATTGTTCACTACGGCATCTTTCAATAATGTAAAGTTAAACTTGTTAAAAACGTCCATAAAAAAATTTACTACTTCATCATTCGGTACAGTGTCTAATGCTTTACTAATGTCTTAAAAAGCTTTGTAATGCCTTTTATATTAGAATGAGCTGATCCACGAAGAATTAACGCGCACAAAATCTGGATTGATTTTCAGTACTTTACTTGAATTAGTAAGGACCTCATAATATTGTTCTAATTTAACATAAACCTTGCCACGGCAGAATAATGTGTCAAATCGTTAGGTTCAATATCCAGACATTATTCAAACTTAATAATACATATTCATACTAAACAATTTTACTATGAAGAATCAACGCTGTTACATTTTTTAGTGAAATTTCTACTGCTTTACTAATGTCTAAGTATGCAAAATAATACTTTTCTAGGTTAAATAAGCTTCTCTGCGGAGGATTAACATATCTACATCATGATTCTATTTTTAATGCCTTATTAAAATAAAAAAAAATGTTTCGTGAAAGTGACCAAGAAAGTAGAAGACCTCTCCACGTAAAAAATGTTTCGTGAAAGTGACCAAGAGAGTAGAAGACCTCTCCACGTAAAAAAAATCGTGGTAGCATCACTTTGTTCAGTTTCTAAAACTTAATCAAATCTATAATAGCATCATTATATGGGGCGCATAAAACTAAAACACGGCTTATGGCTTTTTTTAAATTTTGAGAAAATCACGTTTAAAATTTCGTGT